GAAAATACTGTTCACTCTGTGATTATACATTTTACTTTAGCGCTTTTATAACAGTAAAGCTATGACCACAATGAGGATGGAGTCATCTTCTGCAAGTTTAATCACTGGGTGGTCCAATGGACAGAAAAGCATACAACTAGGACAGGAATTTCTCTACAAATACCGACTATTTGCAAAGCATCGCTGCCGGACAAAGGACTACAGCCACGCAAAACAGCCTGGGGAGGACAGAACTAGGCAAGAGGCAGAAATGACCAGATGATGGCTAGCGATGATAGCCAATGTTACATTAAGAACAAACGCGAAACACTGACTTCACGCTGCATTCCCAGGTCCCAGTAAGGTGCCTTGACAGTGATTCTCCCAGCTTTATTGATACCCAGAAAGGCTGCCAGGAAGGTTTTCATGGTCCAAGTGTCAGGGAAATGGCACAGAATACAATCACACACATTACAGACAGACTACAACAGCTGCCCTTATGAGGAGCCAACTGATATCCTATGGTTTGAAATGAAGACAGCCACGGCCAACTGCTTCAGAGCCGCAATCTCAAGCCACACAAAGAATGCGGAAACTTCACCACTACGCGCCAGTGCACTTCAGGGTTAGCATGAAGATAACTGTTTGGCTGATTTAGTTGTTCAGCTCCAAACTTTAAAAATGCGTTTGCACCTAGCACAAAAGGAGACAACCTTCTCAACCAAATGCAAAGACTCAAAACTTGGTCATCAAATATAAACCATCTATGCAAGGAATCCTTGCAGTCCAACTACTCAGCTATTAAAAGCCATGGGATCTCCCTTCTCTTCCATCGTATAGACTACATTAACCACAAACAATTCACGTCATACGATTTTATTAACCTGGAATGCCAGCAATGACTGCAAAACAATCTCTCCCTCGGTTTTTGATTCAACAACAAAAAATAGCTCAAATTTGGGAAGATCTGTCAGCATCACTGGACTGATCACTTGTGTGATCTCAAGGTACTAAGGATTCAGCTCTCCACATGCTAATCCCAATCATGCTCTGGAGCACCACCTTGGGCAGCTCTGCCCGTCCAAAACAAAACAGTACAATGAAACAAATAATCATGAACCATGGAGAAATGGGGGGATAAGAGCTCCTCCATTACCACCATGTGGCTAGTGAGCTCTTCTCGAAAGCGCATTAGGATGGTAATCCTGAATATGGATTGCAAGCCTGAAATACACTCTCTCCCCACTTTGTTTCTCTCAGAGTAGTCAATGTGACAGCATCCTTCTGTTATTAGGTAAACCGGAAGATCTACCCAGTCCACAGTTAACTATCTGCCTGCTCAGCAGCTTCTGTACTGAAAAATATTACAGGACTATGTGTTACATAAATGAAAATATAATGGATACCTGGGTTTGTCATCATTCCACAATATGTCTGTTAATATCATAACTACAGTAAACCATAGATTGCATTCTGATTTTTTTTTCAGTTTTCTTTCCCAAGGGATGATAAGAAGTAATCTCCCTGTTGTTACAAATGTTTTATTTTGAAAATAAAGCTTCTATGCATATTTTAGTTGATCTAAATACAGTAGATCTTGGGTTTTTAAATCACCAGATAATATGCAATTATCTCAAGCTAGATTCTGATTTTGAAACAAGCTCTAATTAGCTCCCCATTTTATGCTGCTATAATCCTTTCTTCAACTCCCATGAGTGTTACTATTGCTAAGCAGCATGAGGTTAGGAATGATGGATGATACCCAGAAAGGAAGACAAACAAAAGGGAAATTCAAAATCCCCTGAGATCACCCGCAGCTGTATCGGCAAATGAAGATTTCCACATTAGGTCATAAGACGACCCTTACAGAAACACATACTAAAAAGGCACGTCTTTTTCCCACTGAGTATTTGCAAGTCTTTAATGTAGTATATAGAGAGTATATGTCCTTCACAGAGGAAAAATACAAAAGTGAATAAAAATTCAGCTTTCCTGGGCATAGCTATGAAATCAACAGCACCAAAAAAGAAACTTTGTCTTAATGTCATATAGATGCTCAGTAAAGACATAAGACCCCAAAATAAAACAAACTAATGAGAGCTATATGCAGTACAAGTATTTAGAAAAATATCCAAGCACATAAACCTTCTTCTGGCACATGGCTACTGTCCAAACCCAACCCAGCTCTGATCATCAGTAATGCAACTAAATAAGGGTCAAATTCATCATGAAAAAATGCTGATGCAGTTGGGTGACACTAATTCAACTTTTTTTTCCATGTGATTTGGTCCGTGCTTTTGACACATAAATCATTAAAAAGGCAGATTTACCCAAGGGCATTAGAGCATTTAGGTGGAAAGAAATACACAGGAAAAATGTTAGAAAAGACTGTGATACTATTTTTGACCACCTAGGGTACAAACAACATTTTTGTGTAAAACACGTTCACTGAAACTTGCACAAAATCACCAAAGCCTTGAAAGGTCACAGGCAGAAAATACAGATATATATCTGGTTGTAATTTTGGTATAGACTGGGTTTCTTCAAAATTCATAAATATAGCTTTCAAAGAAGGAAAATAAGCCCGGCTTCTCTTTGCTATCTCAAATTATATATACATATATATATAAAAAAAAATGCTTATCCATTCATTCCCACATATAAAAGACTGATGGGTCCATCTGTCCATGTGTGACAATGGAAAATTACTGGACAAAATAAGAGATTTTCATGAATGAGGTGTTAATCAAAACCTTATGATCTAGAAGTGTAACTAACGGGGTCAGAAATCCAGAAAATCTTGCTAGTTTGATAGAATAGTGCCAAACGGTAATGAAAATACTGACAGCTAATAAAAGTTTGAGACGTTACTATGCATGTTGACACTCTGTACACCGAAGACCTTGGCAAAGCACTCAGGAGCCACTGACTGTATTAGTTTAATTTCACTTCTTTCCCTTCATGCATTCAACAAGTTCCAAGCCAATTATATTACACGGAAAAGGCTCCAGACCTTTTCTTGTTTCAAAACTGTTCTGATTAATTTCTGTTTTAAAATTACAAGTATGCAACCTTTTCTGCCTTGATTTTCCTGGGAAATGTCTCAGAAGACCAGAAAATTGGAGCTGTCTTTTTTTTTCCCTGCCCTGGAGTGGAGGATCTTTCACAAATGCATAATTATTATTACCTTTTCCAAACTGTTTGCTGCGCTTTTAATTACAGAACAGCTGCTAATAGAAGAAAATTACCAAACTGCCCTTCCTCATTTAAATAACTTGGTTTCGCTCTTTTGTTCTGCGTGGTGTCATAAACTTCCTTATTCCTTTATACAGAGAAAGGCACCAAGAAAAGAACGTCTTGTACAACAATTTTATTTTTAATCATTGGAAAGAAGGAAGAAAAGGGCATGAGCCCACTTTCTCATTTGTAAGTCTGCTTTAAGGAAAGAAGGAGGGCGATCATCAATAATATGATTTTATTAGCTGATAGGAATGTGTCGCCTCACAACATATTAGCTCAAGGGCAAGAACTGACAAACGAGATTGGGAGTGTGGGAGGGGAACAAAATATCACGGCAGCAAAACTGAACTTCCTGAAGGAAACCACTTTCAGCTACCAGCGATCCTCACGGGAATCCATAAGGTGGTTGGATTTTAATACTATGGGCTTGTCTTTCAATCTTTTATAATTACAGTTAGTCATAAATATGATGATTAGCAATAACAATGCAGCCTTTTCCCAGCTCCTCTGATTTGAAATTCCTCTTAAAATGGCTATAATTAATTACTCATATTTTCCATGCTGTCTTAGGCGTTTATAACTGTAACAGTTACTCTTGCATAGTACTGATGCTACAAAAAAATAGTCAATGGCATGCTTTTAATGAACAGCAGCATATAAAATGTCGCAGGAAATTTCCATGTTCGCTAAATGGTTGGCTATAAGTAACAATAGCCCTATGATTGCAAATAATTTTTTCCCATTTTGGTTTTGTTTTCATGGCTTGTGTTTACCAGGGGCATTTTTTTTTTCTTTCATCTATTTATTTTCAACTGTTCTTTTTAAGAAAAACGTGGACTGAATATCATCACGTATTTTCTTCCAATAAAATCTTTTAAAATGCAAAATAGTTTCCCAGTAGATAGAAAAAGCAGTTTAGTTGGGATATTCAGAATAAACCCAGCAAGCTCCAGAAAGAGAGTGTGTTTCAGAATGGCAGACAGGTGGAAGAAGAGCACAACCCATCCTTCTCTGTAACCTGAAATACAGTAATTCTCCAATACAGGGCACCAGCTGTAAGTACAGAGCAGGGCACAAGTATTTTTCTAGAGTACAAGACAGCCCGAGTGGTTTACGTCAGTTAAGCATATCATTGGTAAAAAGTCTGTGTGGGTAGAGTTTGGTATCTAACAGCAGGAACACAGCTGTTCTGTTCCAGCCTCCTTCCTATACTGTGGCCATCTTACAAAACCTTTAGCAATTCACTTCTCTCTGACACTCATCCTTACTGCATCTGCTTTTTTGCAAACGGAAAGGGGAGGGAGAAAAAAAGGTCGGCTTGGAATATTTAACGAAGCTTGAAAAAGAAAGACATAACGTGGTCTTTTCCCCACCTTCAAATTAACAAAGCAGATTTTGTGCAAATGAAAGTGGGAAAAAAATATGCCAGCGAGTAAGGCAGCTGGAGTACGTAGATCACATTACAAACGAAAGGCTTGTTTTACAGCCATTGTCACATGTCAAGTTGATAAGCTGAACTATGGTAAAAAAACCCTACAGAGCCAATGATCTCCAAGATCAGACAGAGTCTCTTTACCTAATATATGCAGCTAAATATGTGTACTCCCTACATCTGCCATAGCAACGAGGAGAACGAAGAATTAACTGTGTTAATAAAAAAATTGAAGGGACTTCTGTATGATACAACAAAACGCGAGAAACCTCTCAGCATCAAAGCAAAAGAAACGTAACAAAAGCACAGAGAATTATTTCAGAGCAAATCATTGAAACCAGCTGATTACCTGAGCTTGCACATCCCTGCTGTAGGGAATCCTGTAATGATGTCACAGAGTGAAGGACTAGATAAGAGAGGAGAGGAAAATCAGGGAACAATAAAAGGAGATGCCAAACCACAAACTAAACAGTAAGCAGGCTCAACAAATAGCAAACCGCTTATCTCAGCAAGGGCACGCTGCTCATTTAAGTCAGTGGCATTATAAGGGTACAACCGAGGCCAAACTCTAGTCTGGCCTTTCTGTATCAATAGGTACTGGGACAAGAGAGCGCCACAATAAAAGTGTAATTGCAACACAGCATTCCCCCTTTAAAGCTTAGTTCTTCTAGCTCACCTCCTGAGAAAGCAATCGATATTCTCCTAGGAACAATAAAAATCCCCTATGCAACCCTAGAAAACAGCGCACAAGATTTTCCAGCTCTTTGGCCAAAATTTTTTGAATTACGTATCATATTCATGCCTAGATAATATCATCCTAATTAGGAACTTGATAACTGCTGCTTATCAATTACACATAAACGAGTGCTTCGTTCGTAAACATTCCCAGCGTGTCCTCCCTAGGGACCGGCTGGGCTGCGAGGGTGGACGCTGCCACTTCCAGTAACGCCTGGACTAGCACCAGGCACAAGTCTCGCTTACTGCAAATTTGGGGAAAAAAAAAAAAAAAAAAGATTTCCTCCTCCTCAACTCAAACAATATAGTGGAATTTTAATTACCTTGTCCTTGTTGCTGCCCTTGTGCAGGCAGGACACACTGTCCCAGCTCACCATTCAACCAGAGCTGCATACGAATAAATGGTTCTCGGCCTTTTTGGGTCAATTTACTCCATGGCTTTGGCCTGGAGAGCATGTCACTGACACTTCCTTGGGACAGCCCCAATACCTGAAGTGAAGCAACCAAGAACGGCACGTTAACACATTTGATGTGGAAGGGGGGTAATTTAAGTTACTTTGGTTTCCTTTACTGCTATATCGCTCAAATCATTTTTATATGGACAATTAGTAAAATTGCAAAATGACATCTGTAGGTAACTGATGGAAATGCTTTTCTCCTGCCGTGGTTTCCTTCTGGAGTGTGGGTTTTTTCCTGCAGGAACGGAGCAGCAGCACAAACGGCAAAAGGACGGCGTGAGATTTGCATGCTTTTCGTATTTTGTGTCAAATAGTTTCATCAGTTCTAACAGGAAAAGCTCAGAGTCCAGGCACACACAGGCAGATGAAACAGGAAATGATTGGCACGTATTTTGTTCTCAAACAAAAATAATTGGGACTTTTGAGACTAGGCCTATATTTGGTTGATTTTTTTTTTTGGTATGAATTATAACGATGCGTGTTTTCACCTGTAGCAGCGGCTGCTCCACTTAAGTAAATATTTAAGAATACAGCCCACTGCAGCAAAGGGGGAATTTCAGACAGGCAGAACGCAATTACTTGCCTGGAATTCAGCACAGGAACAGGGGTTAAAAATCATACTTAATGAAAGCTGCCACGGGATCTTTAATGACCCCAAGAGGTCAGGCTTTTCATTTTACATCTTAGTGAAAAGGTAATAGCATGATGCCAGCTCCTATTATATTATATTGATTCAATTCTTTATCAGAAGAAGAAACACCAGATGTCCACCACTTCTTATAGCCTGGGAAGTGTGTTCTGGTGGTTGGGGACCCCCCCGAAATCCCACGTGTTGAATGCTTAGGGCCCACAACGTGAGAACTTCAGAAAGCCTTATCGTGCATCGCATATCTGTAATCAAACATTAAAAACGTCTGAAAGCACACTAAGATACCAAGCTGCAGGTATAAGAAATGACTGTGAATTCTTGACTTAAGACTAAGGAGAGGTAGGGGATTTTCCGTGTGTTTGTTTAAATACCCTTGTGCGCATTTCCAAATATTAAAAAAAGGAAAAATGCTCTTGTGTCCATAATCTTCACTTATTTAAGACTCTCCAGTCATGACAATGGTATTACTCAAATATTCCATGAATTCATTACATTAAGCATGAAATATTGAGTCTCAGTAATGTTTGCTTCAGCTTTCAATGTTTCTAAACTCGGGGGCCCCATTTCTAATTACAAGTGGCTGAAGCCAATCTTCGTATAAAAACCTACGCAATTCACAAAACACAGGAAAACTAATACTTTCCTTTGTGAGCTCATTTTTTAAATACTTAGCATATGAAGCAAAAACATTTTTCCGTAAGACATATGTGGCATATCCCCCTTCATTAAACTGAGCTCCATACCAATGTGAGGAGCACAACGCACATTCACAATACTGGTGTAACAAGAGAGAACCAGTTCTTTACCTTTTCCCCAAAGATCCTTTGGCAGATGCCATTCTTTGCTAGCTTTTCTTTGACCTGCCGCGTTAGCTCTATCGTATCCACTTCCTGGTACATATAAATCTCATACTGCTCGGGTGTCAGTGGAGGAACTGAAGGTTTGGATGGCTTTGACAAAGACACGATAGGGGATGAAGGGAGGGGGCTATTTTGTGGCGTCTCACTGCGACTCGCCCCAGTCATGCTCAATTCAGAACTCTGGGAGTACGGAGATTCAGCGTTTGGCCCCTCTTTCCAATACTCTGAAGAAGATGGTCCTTGGAGCTGGCTACGATCTGGCCTAGTCTGATTGCTGACCTTTTCTTTTCCACCACTGGCTTCCTCAACTTTTACATCTTCGGGAAGAGCTGTACTTCTTCTCTCATGCTGCACAGTATTCCACCAATGGTCCTTCCAAACACCACCACGTCCCAACTCATTTTTAACATGCCTCAACATACCCTGGGCAGAATCACTTATTCCTTGAAGCTCTAAAACAGGTGCCTCCTGAGGCTCCTTTTTGAGCCCAGAGAGGTTCTGCAATGCAGAGAGACTGGAATCAGTGACAGATGAATGCTTCTTCAGGGATATGGCCAAAGGAGAATAGCTGGAAACCGAAGACATTGCAGGTGTAGATACTAGTTTGGGGGACAGGATAGAAATGTCAGCTTGAGATAAAGGTGGTGTTTTTAAGGCAGGTTCAAGGGCAGCCTGCTGTGCCTCCATTTCGCGTCGGGCTTGTTGCAGAATGGATCGAATAGCATCATCAGAATTGCCACTGCTAGATGCAGAAGGCGGCTGAGCCGGCTCAGCTATGAAAAACAACCAAAAGACTAAATGCAACAGAGGAATATGCTTTATATTCAACACGTGCTACTGTACATATTTCCCTGTCAGAAAAGGGGCTGCAGTACATTTCTGGATGGGAGGGAGGAGTTTTCACTAAGCAAAGATTTGCACTTTTCAAAATAAGGTTAAGATTTCCAAAGTTCTTCACTGGAAAATTTTTATAGTTGCCAAAGTGCTGGACATTTGCACGCACAGACTCAACTGCAGAAGTCTAGTACTACTTGCATGTTTTCTACCATTGTAAAAATTTTCAAATAAATGCCTTTGAAAATCAAGCCTTCGCCTCTTCCTCCCCCACCCCAAGTGGTCAATAACATTTTATAGTTCTACTTACAAAGTTACTTAACCTTTCACTTCTCTCTATCTCCACAAATGAATCGTAACACATGCTCAAAACTGAACACAGCTGCATTCACCTGGACGGACTATTAAGACCCTCTTACAGTATAAATAAGGTGAGTCCTTTTAACTCCAAAAATATAACACACAAATTACAAGAAAGCAAGAGCTTTAGTAAGAGACTTCATTATTTCATTTGACAAGCTAGATATGCTCCTGCTTCCTGTTTTCTTGTTCCGTGGTCCCAACCACTGAAATAAACAGCTCTACAAAAATCAGGCTGATGCCTGGCCATCACTCTCTGCCTTATCCGAAGCCCTAGAACGGAGCCATGGGCACCTTCAGAAGAGATAACACCTAAATGCAGTATTTCAGTGGTGAACCGGGACTTGTGTGGCTGTGCTGCAGCAGTCAGGGATGAGCAGAGATTGGAACGTGGGTGTAGAATTATCTCTGCAAAGCCAGGAGGTTTTTGCAATGGCATCTGTCTCCATTTAAGTTAGTCTCCACTGAGGTCCCCAGTGCTTGAAAACCAATTCCTCTGAAAGCTACTCGACAAAGAATGGGGAAAATGAAGCACTAGATCGTAACAGGGAACCCATACACTGCAAGAAGTGGCCTCGAAGTGAAATAAGATTTGAAACACGCTGCCTATTATTCTAGTAATATCATGCCTCATCTGAATACATTTCCGAATTTGCCTCCCAACATTCCTTCCTGTCACACGCTATAAAATACATGAAAAGCTAAGAAATGGGAAAAAAAGACAGTGGGAACATCTCTTCTGTTTTATCTACTGGTTTCATAGGGAGTTTTGAGGTTGAATTAATATTTAAAAGGAAGTCTGAGATTCTCAACTGAAACATGCTACTGAACAACGTGCTTGCAGTTTCCTGCACACAGCCCACGTTTTTCTCTATGTAATCATTACTTGTATAAAGTCGTATTAGTCAAACCGTATATTAACTAGTCTTTTATATTTTGCCATGAGATTAGCTTAGTTTTCATTTAAAAGACAACTATCCAAAACTGTAAATCTGTATTCACTTTAAAAAACGAAACAGAAGTAATGCACAGTACTCTCTATTTCAGCCCTTTAGTGGTGCTGGAAAGTTGGGAGGGCTATGGAGTAGACAGAAATGTTAACTACATGACAGCATACAGTGAGAAATTAAATTTGTCTCGGGCTAATGATGTTTTTGGGAAAGGAAATGCTTTTTGGATTTGCCAGTTCATTCACTGAATACATTCCGTTACCAAAAATAAAGTCACATAGAATTTCAAACTGAGTTTGCCTGTATTATAATTTCAGTACACGGTGGTACTACGTGACTGGTAAATGCTGGCTAGATCGTGACCTTCACCCTGACAAATCCACTCAGTTCCCTCTCCCAAGCAGTTGTGTCCCTGGGGCCTGAGTTAGCAGACAAGAGAAAGCAGAAGCCATTCCCTTTCCAAGGAGCAAACTGGTAGAAGAAAGGATTTTGTAGGTTCGTGCTGCAGAGTGACTGCCTGCAGGTCTGGAGTGGTGTAAAGAAGGCAGAGCTCTGCACTTGGGAAAAAAGGTGTTTAGAAATCTCACAGCGTTGCTCCCCTAGGAGCGGGGCAGAGCAGGGCGGGCACAGCACTGAGCAGAGACCCCACCAAGCCGTGACATGCGTAACCTTAACTTGGGCTGCCTTATAGACAGAAACAACTCCACTAAATTTAAAAAAAAAAAAAAAAAAAAAAAAAAAAAAAAAAAAAAAAGGGCGGTTTTAAGAATATAATTAACTGACCAGAAAGCTCATGGTAATTGTTTTAATTAAATTCTGAAATAAAAGGAACAAGAGACAAAATGAGACCGTACCTGTTTTCTGTACTTGCAGCTCCCTTTTGGCTTGTTCGAGAATGGATTTGATGGCTTCATCAGAGCCAGTCTCTGTGGTTCGGATTCTTGTGGTTATATTACCTGAAGAGGAAAACAAAACTAATGACACTGGGAAAACTTTTATTTGTTTGGTTCGTTTTTTAATACGAAGACAGACAGCATATACGGATATACCACCAGCGTGACCTGACGAAGTTTACACAGGACCTTTACCAACATTTACAACACCAAGAACATACTTCACATAATAAAAGAAAAATATCCTCGTTGTGCAAAAGCCTGCCTGCTAGCTGCACTGGAACGATGAGAACACTGACATCATCAGAGGAAGAACTAGGTGGTCATATATTCCTTTTCCAGGATAACACATCTAGGTCTATTTTTTTCCCATTCTTCGTTTTGGAGGGGGAGAGGAAACAGAAGGGAAAAGAACCAAAGGGGAAAGGAAGAAAGCTAAAAACATAAGATCAGGAATCACCTTAAAAATTGCATCAGCTGCTAGGCAAAGTAGGATGAGTATACATTCAGCCCAAAACAGAATTAAAAAGTAACTAGATAAAAATAATTTTTAACTTTCTAGAGGTTAATACATTAAGAGAAACAGTCATTTAAGCGCAGATACCATTTGAAGTACTCTCCAGCTAAGAGCTATTACTTGATTGTTTGGTTTTGTTTTGGTTTGGTTTTTTTAACCACTAAGGGGAAGAAAAGGAGGGAAAACTATGGCTGTGAATGCTATTGCACTTAACTGTATTTTTCATCATGAGATTATCATTTGTAAGTGAGCTAGGTAATTTCTGACTGGAGTCAAAACAACTACAACTTCGGGGTACCTGGTTTTGTTTTTTCTTCCTCCTCTTGTCTTGCTAAAAGAAAAATTCTGCAACTAATCTATAATGAAGAAAAATGTTCATACTTCCTGTTCAGTGATAATTTATCAATCTGATGTTCACTTATCTTTTTGTCTTTTTCATACACCATACTGAAGTATCACACCAATTTAACAGCGTATTAAAGTGTATTTGTCAACATAAGCCCCATGAGAAGAAAGAAGTAAATCTAGAGCAGAAGCTGTATGCGATTGATGTTGGATTATACGTAATCGTGCAACTTTCTCCCTCCAAAATCACAAAAACAGCAAAGAGAGCATTTCAATAGATCTGATGATTTTATAAAGCCACTTCTATCACTTATCTCTTTTGATCTGCGTACGCAGTGATGTTGGGAGTGGAAAAAGTATCCAAACAGGGTTACGTTAGTACAGCAGCAGCAGAATTAGAAAAAGCAAAGTGTTCGTCTAACCCATGGTTTGTTTTATACTTACTGTCTGTTTTTCTATCAGATTCCAGGCCAGAATCAAACTGCACAGTTTTAAGGAAACACACAGCTAAAGCACACTCCACTTCCTAGGTATTGACTGCAAAGAAAAACACCTGCCTGTGACGTACCTTCAGACCCATTTCTTCGTTTCGGTACTTCCTGAAATAGTCTGTTCAGGTTCTGGCCTGGATTCTCTGTTGAAAAACAAGTTTGGTAAGAACAAAACAATCAGGGGATGGTTGCTCTGACATCATGGGCTGTGTGACATGAGAAGCTAGCAGCCTGTCTCTGAAGGCGAGGGTTTGAGCTGTCCTCGCCCCCTCGAGCCTTTGTCTGAGCGCTGGAGGAGCTGGCTACTTTGGAAGAAGCAAGGCTGGCTGATTTGTTAATAAAGATTACAGCTACGTTTGGAAAGGAGATTAGACAGATATAAATAAATGTCTAGAGATACCAAAAATGAAGAGGTTAAAGATGGGCAGATAATCCCCTCAAGTACAATAATCAAAAGGAAGAACAGATAATAAATCTAACAGTGTGCACTTTCAATTAAACAAAATCTAGGAAAATCCTGCCTGTCCTTTCCAATATTTCTTGACTGTAAACAACTTACTTTTCAGTTTCTCTAAATGTAAATCTCAGTCTTCGCTTACGATGAATCACAATGAAATGCATGTTATTTCTTAAAACCACTGCCTTAAATATGCAAACCTGCTTTAAATTAGGATTGTTTTTTTGATTACTCATCTCATGCATCACCTATGATATTTTGTCAAAACACTTTGGGAAAAAAAAAAAATCACAAACGACACAATGAAAGTCTAGTCTCAATAAACAACCCCAAATAAAAATTTTCAAGTATTTCTGAGGGCTGATAACCTTAGTAGCTACTGACCCTTTTCACTCTGTATTTAGCTCTGACACGGAGCTATTGGGAAGCTAGGGATGTAAGTGTCCCTGCTGCTTGCCCCTGCTGACAAACACAAGTCAGCAGCTAAAAAAAGCATAAGCAAAGATACTAACCTGCTTGAGTGCTGAAAAGCAGAGTTAGAAAGCTGTACTTTCTGTATCTGACATCTGATTCGGGTGAAAACAGCAGCAAGGCACAAACGGCCCCGTATAGGGAAGCTTCCAATTTTTAACATTTGTAACTAACTGGAAAATAGGGCAAGACCCTCGGCCGGCGAGCGCTTACCTCTTTGTCTACCCTGGATGCTGCGAAGAGCCAAGATGTTCTGCTCGTCCGAGAGGAACTGCTTCATCTTATGAAATGGCTCCTTGCCTCTCACAGTCAGTTTATTCCATGGCTTTGGCCGGGCTAGTATCTCACTCACAGACCCTTGCGACAGTCCCAACACATAATGTCCAAATATCCGCTGTCCAATATTGTGCTTGATCAATTGCTCTTTCACCTGACGTGCAATTTCGGCTGTGTCTATCTCCTCGCCTTCGGAGATGCTCCCAGCACTTTCTGACTGGCTGGGAGACGGGGCCATGCCATTTACGTCCGGACTTTGTTGTAATGGACTTTGGGAAGATATGGAGTTTGTGCTGTAAGGACCTGTTGAAAAAATCATGCTTGTGCTTCCTGCTTCCTGCATTGCCTTGGAGTAGAAGGACTGCATTAGCTGTCGCTGGAGGAGAGAGTTTAGTGCAAATTTTCCTGTGGAGGCCAGGGGTAAGCTGGGGCTCGCCAGGGATGAGCTGAAAAAGTCTTGACTTAAACCCGTTGGTGAGAACTGGTGTGTACCATTAGTATTGGAAGCCTGCTCCCCCGCGTTGCGGAGCAACTGAGAAGGAGGGGAGGCCGGCAAGGTTGCAGGACGCTGACTCTCAGGCTGGTCTTTCCCTTTTCTCCTGGCTGACCCTACAAGGAAGGTCAAACATAATGCATTATGGGGGATCAAGGAGGGAAAAACCAAGATAAAAAAATGCAAAGTTTGCCCCACAAAGGGAAAAAGTGCAGATTTACAAGGGCCAATGAAGTGGCGGTGGGATTTTTGTTTTCATTTTGTTTTTGGTTTGTTTTCTTTTTTTTTGTTTTCATAATTGAAATTTTAATAAGCCAAACAAGGCCCCCAAAACAAACAACATGCATTTCATGTTTGCACCTTTCTTGTATGTTGCAGCCTGGAGAATCCCCCTTACAAACATTAAAACTAGAACAATTACATGAAGTGCAGTTATACATTTAAAATAAATGCAGTTACAGACAGCAAGTCGCTTTGTTGTCTCTCATTCAAGACATTACTCATTGGACCTGACTGAACCCAAATGCAGCAAACATTTACATTTTGGAACAAACCAATTTGAATAAAGGAATCACCATTAGGTGGATGCACCAAGATCGCTCAGTTAAAGTCATAAAACGCTTCAGAATTCAGTAATCCCAGGGCCAGTGGCAACTTTTAATTTTCTTCCAGCTGCAAAAACCGTAAGCATTCAAGTATCTGGAAATTCCATGACTTGCCATTTAAAAAATGTGCACACAAGATGTAAAAAGCCCACATTAGGAAAGCTAAACGGCAAACACACTTTGCTAAAAAGAAAGTATTTTGTTTTTCCAAGCTGACCTGCTGGTAGTATATCTAAATGTATCAGACAGGAAGATTATTGTGTTCTACATGCAAACATTTTGCATAACATTGTGTGTGGGGGAAGAGACTTCTGGTGCCACGGATGAATTTGTTCCCAAAACAGAAGACAGTCTCAAACGCTACCACTTGGTACATCTTGTAATGCCTCTCTTTCCTAACCTTTAAAGACTCTCTGAGGTCTCCAAGTTTTATTTTCTTATCCAGCCTATAAAACTGCAGAAATCAAACATTATTCAGTGTTCCTGTTGCCTCTTAATCTTCCTGCCATGCATTAGCTCAGACATTCATCTCTCACTCAGCCCTCCCTCCCTTTACAAGAGAGCAAACAAACCAGAATAGCCGAAAATTGTGTCAACCTACCACTCAGGTCACTATTTGTGATACGCAGCGTGGCGTTCTCAGACTGCAAGGAGCGGTTCTTCTCCAGCAGCAGCATCTCCAGCGGTTTAGATGCATCCTAAAGAAAATCAAAGTGGGAGGTTTGTTTCTAAAAGCATTAAGAATCTCACTCAGGCACTAAAAAGGATTTCAGAAGAAGAAAACAAGTGTTCATCTCTGCTATGAACACAGCTAGGGAATTCACCATGCATATATTTGCAGGAATCACTCAGTGCTCCTACGTGAGCCATAGAAGAGATTCACTGTTTAATTTTCATTGTAAATCATTCATCAATTCTCCATTATTTTGAGATGTGTAAGGGAACATTTTCTTAATCCTACTTATTTTAAAGTGGTACTGGCAAGCTTTCAATTTAAAAGCTGTAGACTTCTTTTAATCTGGTTAAAATAGGAGTTAAGATTATATTACTTCTTCTACACCCAAGTTAAGCATTTCCTTGAAATGCTGCGTTTCAGCATAAAGTTTGTTCAAAAATAAAATCAGTCACACAAACCTGCCATTTACCTTCCACTAACTATCTAACCCTTGATCATTAAAAAACATACGGAAAATTAATCCCAGTATAGTGATATTCAGTTCAGATTAGAATTTAATTCATAACCTTTAAACTTAAGTAAGATTAATTTGCTGGAATAGCAGAGCTTTCTCCTGCTTTCTCAGTACTCAAAGGTTCGTTTTCTTTTGTGAACATTATTTTCAAGGCTAACAAAGACTTAAAAATGCTAAAATCCTTGCTCAGCGTACTGTCAGTACAAGAAACATGCAAATCTCAGCGTAGCTGTACACTGACTCTAGTATCTTTAAAAGACTGAACTTCACAACACTACGGTTATCCACTCCAGCACTGCTGAAACATCATTCTTTGTCCTTGACCACTTAAAAGAAATTAATAGGCAAAAAATGTTCAGTTCAGCTTTTTACATAGGAAAACAATGATCAACCCATATGTCTCAACATCAACAGGAAATTCTCCATGCCAACACCAACAAATTACAAGACAAAATTGTTGTTAATCAACTGAACTGCTGAAGTAATTAAGAAAACAAAAGTAGGTTCAGTACCTGCGCACCAGAGCTTTCAGATGGTGCAAACTCCATGGATTTCAATATACTGTGGAAGGCAGGAAAAAAAATTATTTTCTATTTCTTCTTTTAACAACAACTGCACTAATGAGCATTAACATTATCATTTCCTACTCTCCAGCAACACTACAAGTGATAACAACTTTCCTTGCAGTAACACAGCCTCATAATGAATATAGAATAACTATTCAAACTAGTTATTGGATAAGAAAATTTTCTCGAGCGTCATCTAAATCATTCCATATGCAATCCCACTAGGCCAGTTTAAAGCGTAAATTTAAAGGTTAATAAGGATATAACATTTTAAGCTGTCAGAAGCGATATAAATTTATCTGTGAAGCTTGAAGGGAATGAAAAAGTTGTAGCAAAGCAACAAAACAGGGGAATCACCACCACAGTTGCAGTACTTTATATAATATACACCAGCTCACATATCAAGGAAAATATGCACAAATAATCTTTCCAACCAAGACACTACAGGCTAAAAGGCAGTTTTTCATTTTAATAACCTCCTAGTTCTATGGCAAAGGGAAGACACAATGGCACAATATTTCTTAAGAAATATGAAAGTTCCAAATATTTATAAGTACATTAGGAGAAGAATCTGATAGTCTCATTGTCAATATTTTATATAAATACTGAGCGGTCAAAGGACATCTCCCTTCAAAGTCTTTCAGTTAGAATTGTATTGTCTAGACAATGAGAATCTTACAGGAATACAAACATTACTATGCTTTGTCTTATAAATTTTTTTAAATAGGCCTGCTGGAGGCAGGACGTTAAGTTCCTCAGACTGAAGCAATAAATGATTTCACCTTCTCATTGTACAAAGACGACACTCATTTGTTGAAGAAAAATACATAAACAGATATAGATAGTGTTTATACAGCATTTTTCATGTATAAAGTACCAGGAACTTCGTGAGGCAGGAAGAATATATTCAACCATGTATTAAATGTGGAACCTGAGTCAAAAAAAGCAGAAGGCCAGCATTAACACACAGGGACTAGTTCTGGATGCCACTAGGAGTCAGCCAGGCACCCAGCACTCATTAACTGCCGCAGAACATGTGGCATCCAGCTCCCCTATAAATCTGTGCGTGCATTAATCCAGAATTAGATGTCCATTAAGCGACGCTCTGGAAATCAGTGGCCTCAGCGACTCGTTCAAGATCACACAAAGTCATAGCAAATCCAAGAAAAAAAAAAGTCATTCTGAGACAGAAACATCACGTATTTTGCATCTGTGCATACTCATTGCATACAGTGTTAATTCTGACAGGCACTCCTACAAATATAATAATTAATAAAACCACAAAATTCTGGTCATCAGTCTCATCATACGGCGTCATTGGATGACACCTCTTGCCAGCAGAAATCTCTGTAGATTACAGCCATCATCCAATACACAAGCACATAAAGTAATGCTGTTAAGACTCAGCTTTACGTGGGCACAACAGCTCACCCACATGGAAAAGTGCCTCTTTTCTGCTATTAATGGAGTCATGCCAGTCAAGGAGAGAGGCTGTGCATTAATGGCTCGAGTTCTTAAAGATCCTGACATTATATTGACATCACAGGCATGTTTTCTCAGGTTGCTAATCACTGCTGAAAGCAAGTGGTTCTTGGGACACCTCTTCAGAGGCACAGCTCTGTCTACCAGGACTCCATGGTGCTGGGGGAGATAAATATACCGAGACGCATCTAGGGAAAACCCCAGTCACTGGTAGGTAACTGTTTTCATCCTCCCATGGATTCTGCAGGGTATGGCCTCTGAAAGGACAGCAAGTATGTCCTCATGATGGTCAAATAAGGAGACCCATCTGAATTAAAAAAAAAAACCAATTTGTAACAGCAAATTATCATGCGGCAAACTTCCCACGGCAAATCACAGGTGTTTCTCCCATTTCAGTTCAGATCAGCAGTACACTTGCGACTCGGGTCTCCCAGTAATCCCCACTTACCACACTTCGGTTTGCCATGCAGAGCAGTCCTGGAGCATACCAACCGCATTCCTTCTGGGTGAGACTAAACCAAAAGAAGCTGCACGCTCTTGAAGGAGCGGGCGTGATGTGCTCTGACGACTACCGTGCTGCCTACAGAACCAGACTGAAACCAGTCGGAAGTGCAAAGCAAGCCTGAACGTATTTAGTGTGGATATTGGGTTCTTGGCACCAAAAGTCTGGCTTTAAAGCCCTGATCCTGTTGTGCACTCCACTTGCACAGGCTGCTCTACCAATTCATTTCGGTTCCGAGCACCTGCTGCCAGCTGGGACCTTCAGAAAGGATCCTGAACCTTGCAGCAGCTGCATTTTTCAGCAAGCTTGGAGCAGGCATGCGTATCCAAACCTCGGCTGAAACTTATTGACCTCTGCCTACTTGAAGTGGATTCTTTGCTACCTGAAACAGCCTTCTGGCAATTTCACAGGTAATTTCCTATACACTTAGAATCCAAAATATACTAAAAACCAAGTTGATGGCATCTTGAATTGCCCTTGGAGGAATATTCACTACAGCAGGTTCATTTTTTCAAAAAATGTAAGAGTTAAACGTGTCAAAAATGACTCTCCAAATGTGTCACAGAAGAGACATTTTCCTTAGGAATATGAGGAAGCAAAATGTTTCCCCTTTGGATTCCAGGAATATCTTTGCCCATGAGCTCTCAACTCAGTGTGCTGCTCAAGATCAGTTATCTGCTTTTTAAAGGAGTGATCTTGTGACTTGAATCTGCACAATCTGCACATCTAAGATGACTTGAAAGATCCTACTCTAAAGCAAAGCGTGCATTGGGACAGCTCGACTTTCTGTTTGTATGATCCCGACTGCAAAGGCAGGAGGGTTAGCACTGCCGTATTACTCGAGAGGGAACTGAAAGGACACAGAGAGCTCTCAGATCTCAAAAACAGGTTTAAAAGCCATTTGGCACAAAGGCCAATGCAGAAAGCAAGGAATCCACCCATCCCAGATCTTGATGTGGACCCAGTTAAGTTCTTCCAAGGTTAGAAGTTGGCTGATATTGAGATTCCTCAGCCTAGAATGCCTCTAACATCCTTGGGAGGATTAAGGAAAATACATCAGTGCCAAAACAACTGAGAAGTTTATTCTCTTTCTTCCTTACTGACAAGGTATCTTTTTTCTTGGTGTGTATGTGTGTTATGAGCCGTTCATTTTTGTCAGTGTTTCAGGGCACAATGGCAGGCATAGCAGGATTCAGTATGAGGGATACCAGATTTACAGCAATAGACTTTTCATAGTTTCACTTCAGATCAGACTATCACTCTCAGGTGATGCACATTTAGAGTTTGGCACATCTTTTGGACCAGATGGGAGCAGAGAGGGTGGCGTAAATGAGCTACTGTGATGATGCGGCATTGCAAACATCTGCAGTGCTCTCACACAGGGTCTTAACCCCCCGCACCACCAGGATGGTGTATTGTCCCCAGGCCACCTACAAGCTAGCTGGCTGTCCCTCCAAAGTCACCTGCCCAGATAAAAAATGTTACCCACAAATTAGGGGATATAAAAGCTGTAACAGCCAGGAGAAAGAGATTTAATTTACTGGTACCCAACAAGGGCCACTTCCAGGAGATTCTCCCATCTATTCCACTGCAAGCTCATCTTGAAATAACAGGAACACGCAGAAGCACCATATGAACACTCCTGTGCCATGGCTTCTCATGGACCTCTTACCTGCTTTCCCATCCCTACCCTCACATAAGTCAGTGTTGTTAAAAAAAAAAACAAATAAAACAGGCATTACTGCCAGGAACACAGGGATCTAAGTGAGTTTCATATCTAAAGTAAAGGCATTAAACCAGGTAGGATTGAAAACTCGTTTGCTGTTTCGGTACATTCACATTTTAGTAACTCATGTAGCAAATTGGAAGGTTGTGGCTTAATTCCCATCCACTACTTTACATATGAGGGCATAAACCAGCTGAAATCTGAAGCTGCATTTCCTTAATTCAGGAGAGAACATGGACATACTTACCCATATCACTAAAACGATGAAGCTTTTTTGAGACCAGTTAATATTCAGGTATAATGCCCAAAGAAATGGACAACTCACTTCACTTGACTGAAACTATATACCTACATCAGGGTGTGCTGCAGCTGGCAGTGAACCAGAACTGCAGCCAGTGTGGCTTGAATATAATAGCACCAGGGGCTGGGCAGTCATTGGGCTTGCAAAACCAAACCTGCTTTCCATATTCTCCAGGGACATGTAAACAAAAACACAGGACTACCAGCCTCATCTGAAATACCTCATTAAACAAGGTAACATTTTTTCAGTCTTCTTAAAATACACACAAAAATGCCAGAATGATGAAAGAAGAGATGGAGTTTCTTGCAGTTATTTAAACCTTGACACTAAACATATTTCCAGTCAAAAAACTTCTCTTCTAAACCTGACAGCTTATCTTGTTATAGTTTAAAATGAGGGTCTTTTAAGTCTCTTTAAAAAACCCCTTGAAATAGGAACAGGCTGTTTGTGGCTTTAGTTTAAAACCACAATATATTAGCAAAAATATACAGTGAAACAAGCTCAGCATTAAAATGTTAAGTGCTGAACACTGGCTGGCAAAAGCATAGAAAAGGTATTATGGCCAAAGGCCCTGCATTAAATTCTTGGTCCACATTACATTCAGCTGTTGGCTGGGGATTTTTAAAGAGTGGTCCACCTAAAATTCCACAGATTTTCAAACTTTTTACCATTGGTGGACAATAGTTTTAGCGCCTTTTCTTCAGGGACACTTGTATTATTTGCTATTGCGATACTCTGCTGCAACAAAAAGGAGTGCTCTCAGATACAGCAGTTGCACTGGTTCTGGATGCGATTTCTGCCAATATTCCTGATTTCCCCGTCTTTGTGGTTTTGACTGAATTCTTTATTGTTCCAAGAACGCAGATTTGTGGCTTCATTTAACAAGCATTGTTAAACTAGAGTGTGTGAAAAAATTATGTAAGCATTTAACACTTACTTTAATTCTTTCTTAACCTCTTCATAATCAGCCTGTCCTTTCAGTTTTTCTTCCAGTTGCTTTAAAAGAAAGAACATGGATTTAATTATTTAGATTTTTTTCTGCAGGCTTTCAAAATCATCTTTAAATTATTCCATATATACAGCAGCGCACAAGTGAGGGTTAATGACTCATACCTAATTTACATATATTAGAAAACAAACTATAACCAATTCAACGTAAACACAATTATACCTCACTCTTCCTTTGTTTACAGAGTGCCAAGCATTACAGAATTCAGTAAGTCCCAATTTGGCTGTTTGCAATGTCACTGTCATGTGCTCAATACAGAGATCGGGGAAGAAAGTATTAAAAATGGGGCAGCTGAAATTTTTACGAAACTGATAAATTGAGTAAACAAGCAGGATGCTTTGGCACATACTGTATTCTTAATACGACAGTTCTTGATAACCTTATCTACGTGAAAAAAAAAGACTGAAGAAGCTGTTGTTGACTGGAACGCCTTAGGCTTGTAAGACTTCTACAATGCCTCATGCCCAAACAAAACAGCTCTATGAAGTCATTTTACAAGCATTACTTATTGCAACAACTAATATGATTACACACCGGAGATGAAGCACTGAGACCAACTCAGCAGGTCTTTTTGCTCAGGTCTGCCTGACCTGAAGCAGTCTCAATGGCTTCCCTTCGGTGTGAAGATGCCACAAACGTTGAAACAAACCTCCTAACACAATCCATAACGCAATGCCACACATTTGGACCTTACCCAAGAGCCCCTGCTCCCAACAACAGTGCTCATCACTACAGGATAAATGCTTCAGGAGGCCTAAAACATAGTGATACATAATTGATGCCGTTATGTTGCTTGCAGAAGCCACATTAATTTCCCACTAATAATTTCTTTGCTTAGTACAGGCACATCTGATCTAAGCAAAGAAAGAACAGAACTTACTGCCCTGCAACTTCCATGGATAAGTCCAGGTCAGGCTAGCTCCTTTTAATTTTTGGTGTTAAAATTGGCACAGAATCTCAAAGGTCACACGAAACAGAAATAACACAAGGACATACCACCCTCAAAGACAGAGCATCTACTTTGAAAAGGACATATTACATGAAAAAGAAAAATAGGGCTTTATATCCAGGAGAGGCTGTCTTCAGTGGAGAAGTGAATTCAAGAAGATCCTACACCCACTCCTGGGCTGCTCGTTTGAACGCAGGAGGAAGGCAGGGGAGGGCTACTGTGAACTTGGATAATTTTAGCAAACCTGTTTAAAATACAGCCCCATAAAGTTTTGCACCAGCACAGTTATGGGTGTCCCCTGAACGGCAGGGGACAGACGAGCAATTAGAAGTGGGAACCTCTTTAACCACGCTGTCTTCCCAAGTAAGCCTGTGTGTGGGTATCACCCATGCCAAAGCTATCCAATGGGTACAAGCAGCAAAACACTATGTAATGCAGCACCCACAGATTAGCGAGTCCATCATCTGAGCCATCTTAATAATTTAAATGAGGCTTCTTGAGATGACAACAGCAGCACAGTGGGGCTTTGCTGGATTTCAGCTATTTTGCCATCTTTTAAAGGATTTCCTGTCATGCCCTTTCCAGCTTACGCATTGCTGAAATTTCTGCCTTGCCATTAGTATGTACATTAAAAAGCAGTGACAAAGCGGACATCCATGTTACCAATATACAGCCCTCTTAAATTCCTCTTTCTGCTTTTTGATGCCATAATCCACAATCCTTAGTCACTGCTGACAAGAGGCATCTCCCGGCCGTAACACATGAGCCCCTGCTCTGGCAGCTGCTCAACAAGGAACTCTTAAAGGATCACCACCGCCGGCTGTTGCAGGAAAGCAGAAACTGCTGTTAAGTGTGGAATTTGCACTCTACGGGACATTGATGAAATGAGCAGCCTCTTAAAAAGTCTTGTGTGCTAGCACCCTTACCCATCAGTAACTTGTGCAGTCATTTGGTTTGTGTTAAAAAGAAAAAAAAACATGTCTATTTCAGCTAAAACAATTTTTTTAACCTGGAATAAATACAGGGCAAGTTTTAGTCATTTCTTCTGACATGTCCTTCCTTACCAAATTCCAGCTACTAACTGGAATTAGAGGGTACTAGTACCGACTTTGCTTTCTGTAGCAGACACAGTGCTACAGGTGTTTTGGCCCTGCTAAAAAACCCTATACTGATGTAACTAGGAAAATCCTGGTTGATGTGACTAGGAAGATGTTTGAGGTTTTGATAACCTCCAACGTGCGTTGAAATCTGATTATACAAATGTACTACGTAATCCCAGGGCCCAAGATGTCACTTCAGTTCTCCAAGTTCTAAGGAGGGCCAGCTACAACATGCCACAAGTTCAAGCGGCTTTTCAAGCTATAGCTCGACGCTGAGCAAAACAGAGTTATTTTAACAAGGAATCCAGCTAGACTTTTTAATGGACCAGATCAGGCTCAGTAAGACTGGAGAGGGATCTTTAAATGAAACCAGTGGCCGTGTCAGTCTGCCGGCTGCTTCTAACTGCTTTTTGCTGCTCTACAGCTTAAAGCAAAGATACACTACAATTCACCTCTTCCTTAACTCTGTGGCTCGTAACATTTTTTGGGTCTACAGCAGATTAGCTTTTACAGTAGGGATAACAGGCTATTTACACTAGTCCTCAGTATAAGAAGTACTGGAATAAATTTAAAACAAACAATATCCTGGATTAATATGTTAGTTACTTATGCAAGCATACGCTAAGAAAAAAGCCTTTTGTAGAAACAGATATAAAATACAGAAAAGCTAATGATTCCCATTTTAATGCAATCTATATTAAATTCTGTATAGGGATATGCTATACCCTGAGAGTATTCCTGGAAATTTTAGGTACAAAACACAGTTAGGAAAAAAAAAAAAAAAAGAAAAAAAGATATTGACAGAATGAAGCTGTTTTGGACTCTCAGGTACTTGTATGCTGTTATAGCAGTATGGTAACCAGCAATATTTTACTTTGAATTGTATAAAAACCACATACATCCATCATTCCCAAGTACCTAATAAAGAGACTGTTGCCATGGAAAATATACACCTGAATGTATACTTTACTAAACAATACAAACTAACAACTAGGAATGCAATGCCTGTATATAAGCAGACCATTTAGGCACTTGGCATCTTCCCAGTCAATGACTGTTTTAAAATGTATCAGTATGGTAATTGTCTCAAAGAACTCTGTAAAATGCACAGAACATGGTATAACAAAGGTTCAAGCTGTGAGACAATCTGGAGGAACTAATATCTTGCACTAAATATCAACCTGGTTAATTCAGACAAAATATACTCTAACGTCCTCCAACACACAAAAATGCAGGGAGCCAGAGGACAGAAGGAGTGTACTGGTGGCATTTCTGCGCACTAAATTTGCAAATATTCCATGTTAAGGAACCAACTTGCATTTGTTGTATGAATGAACCCATGTTAGAGTATGCATAGGTTGGGTCCCCTCTTATGTTATTTTAAAAAAAACCCCATTACTGTATTATTAACTAAAGTGTCTTAGGTAAATAGCATGGGCTGTATTAAGGGGCTTAAAACATTTAAAAAACCCCATTAGACTAATGTTGTAGTTTAGTTTAGAGTGATAAACTAAAAAGCCCATATTTAACTAACCCAGGTTATCTGACGTATCTTTTTGCTAACTAGCACTGTTGTATTTTAACTGGGTAGCAAGGAAGCTCTAACTCCCAGCAACAAAGGGTTAATATAATTATAGTTAGAAAAGTCTTGTTACTAGAGGACATGTTTTGATTATTAGATCAGATGAAGATAAAGAAGCAATAATTTTGAAAGTATTTCTGTATTGTTTCATTAAGTCATAGAGTATTAAAGAATTCCCCCAAGATATGGTCTGAGAACATTGCTTTAATTTGTGAAACTGTGATTCATTTTTTGTGGAGGCAACCATTACAACCTCAGTTATTTTAGAAGCAGTTCCTCTATAATCAAACAAGAGATCAACACATCACCACTGAGATTTGGTTCTTTGTACAACAGATCTCAGACACAGGTATTCCCAGCACTTTGGGGTAAAAGTATGTGTTTTGAAATATTTTTATAGTGCAACAAATAAGGTTAAGGAGGGTTGAAATGACTAAAACTTTATCAATAGAGTCACTGCATCAGACACTATCAACAGGAACCTAAATACAGAGCATTAGCCGGGCAAGCCTATGAGAAAATGGAAGGAGATTACTGAAATGAAAATCAAAGACTTGCTCTGTCATTTCTATGATCCTATTCCCTTTGAAGTTAATGGCTAAACTAATGCTGACCTCACCAGGAACATGCTTTATTCCAAGAAAATCTGTCAAGTGCAAGGACTCAAGATATTTTCTACCAGACTTTATGAAAAAATAAAAAAAATCCGTAACATGGGTGTAGCCAGCAAAATGTGTCCCTCAAAACCAGGCCAGCTCCTTCCTCCCTCATTAAGAGTGGTGCCCACATGGTGACAGATGGGCAGAGACCGATACTGTCAATATAGGAACCTAATAGGTTTCCTTTGCTCTACTGAATTTTCATAAAAATTCTAGAAGACTGTCTTAAAACATGCAGAAAGCATACTGAATGCAACACTTCGGCTTTCATCCATAACAGACATTTCTCCACATAAATTATGCTACACCAGAGCAAAACTAGTAACTGTTAAAAAATGTCCGAATTAGAACAATTTGTAAGAGTTTCAATTGAACATTAAATCATTCTGATAGAGGAAAGCTACCCATGCCACAGTCAGAGCTAAGTGGGTACTATCAGCCTCCTGCTTTCAAAAAACTCTCAGACTATAAAACCTGCAAAACTATGAAGTCTTTAATGGAATAGATAAATTTATCTTGTTTACACTTTGAAGCTCATAGATGGTAGAACAATGAAAGAGACAGGAGTTACAGGAAACTGATTCATAACACATGTCAGGAAACATTTCTCATGCTTACTGATAGATCAAAACTGTGTGGGCTAGCGCACAAAGAAAGTAAAGCTGCTGAGCTGAAGCAAAAGGTAAAAGGGTCACTCACAAAATTGTTACATGTTTCTTCTCGTTGTAGTGCAGTCCTACTGCTATGCAAATGAGTATAGGACTGGACCGCTAATTATAAACGGGAATTACTGTGCAGCAAATATACAGTTAAAAAAAATAATTAAATGGTTATTAAGGCTAAAAAGCCTTTTCTCTGTGTCTTGATTTTATTTGTTTTTATGCTCTACATGATACACTTCCCTTTTCCAGTGGAGAGAACTGGAAGGGGTAGCAGGTAAATTCAAAGATAGACCACAGCACAATATACATTTCTGGCAATGGCAAATCTGCAATAGCAATCACTGGAATGGGAATTAAAAGTTTTAAAACCTAAGAAGGATATTCTGTGCCTTTTCAGTTCAGCTATGTCACTACGCATCCATGGTAAACATATGTTGGGTTTTGTTGGTGGTTTTAATTCTAAAGGTTCTGCAAAAACAAATTTCAAACCCATGAGAACTAGGTAAATTAAATTTCAACAAAACTGCGACCACTTAGAGTAAAATGTCACAGAAATTAGAATTCAACAGCATCCTGAAGAAGTCAATGGCTTTTACGGTGCCTCTCAGAACCACAGAAAACTTATGTCAGTAAAACCCAATATTGGTACATCAGTTATATCCTTCGAAAGCTGCGGAGGACAGAACCGAGCCTTACTTTAAGCGTGCTGTTCTTAGCGGTCAGCTGCTGCTCCAGCTGTGAGATTTGGCTGCTGGAGTTCTCCCGCAGCTTGGTGAGGCTGCCCTGGAGTCTCTGGACATCTTCTACGAGCTGGGCGATTTCCCGCTCCTTCGCAGCCAGTTCTACTTCCAAGCTGGACCGTGTTAGCACCTCGATGGCCTGCTCCTAATGTGAAAAAAAAATTAGACCACATAAATAAAAAAACGCAACAAGCTTGAATGCAGGGCAGTTAGGTAAGGGCCAAGCATGGCATTGGGTGGCATGAGAGACACAAACAATTTCTAAATCTGGGAGTCCTGTGATCGACTGCATGAATCTGGAAGGTGAACCTTTCTACTCCCCAGGACAGCTCTTTGGTAAAATACAGATAATGGAAAGAAAAAATTTCCCTATTTCATAAGTGCACTGGAAAGATGCAGCCGTGAAAGTCAAAGGATTCTATTTAGATCTATTTATTATTAATAGTCCAAATGCTTTGACAACTATGAAAATCTGTGCTTACAAAATATTAATCAGATAAAATATTCTGAAGTAACGGAGCAGAATTTCTTAATCAGGAATGGCAGAGTCATGTGCCTTTGGCTCTTTGTATGCATGCTGCACATTTCAGGCAAAATTGTCAAAAATTCCCCCAAACTGCTACTTCCAATGAACTTGCTCCTTGCATGAAAATTGTTCGCTGTTAACATTATTGCTAACAACTAAAGCCTGTCCTCCATGGGGATGAAGATAGATGTGACAGCTGTAAGACAAGGCCGTTCTCCCTTTGGGCTCCACTTTCAGAAATTCCCTTTCCTAAATCAGGTTCTTTCTTCTTCCAGTTTCCCACGGTTGCAAAATCTGTCCTCAAGTCTGAAACTTCCTCACTAGACTGACTTTTCAGTAGCACAAGAAATAAGAGAGGACAGAGAAGTTAAGAAGAAGGTAGATCTATTCAGAAAAGATAATACAGACTAATTGTACCATCTCTTTTGTCTCCTTTTGTGTTAAGAGATCAATAGCTATAACGCATCGGAGAGCTCTGAACCTCTCTTCCACGAAGAACATAAGAAGTCCTTGTGCAGATCTGGGGAGCACGAGGCAGCCCAACGATGAACACACGTTCCATTAAAAAGCCTGAAACGCGTCTTACAAAGGTTAATGGCTGCTCCTCACAAAACACCAGTGAAGTAGGAAAGAATCCATTTACCAAGAGAGAGACAATGATCGTAAGCATTATACCAAAGATCATACGGCGAAAGAGCTGAAAATTCAACCCATCGATGCTGTCACCCAAGCACTTTCCTTACAATTCAAGATGACATTGCAGCAGATTGAAAAATACTCCATACCCTCTTTTCTGGAAAATACAGGCACAACAAAATACCTTTTCCATATCTTCTAAACACTTAGCTTGATTCTCAGTGACTACATACCATTGTATCTCACAGAAAGCCACATGTACGAACACCAGTTAACAACGCTCTCCTATTACACTGAATTCTACTTTTAACTTGAAAAAAACTCTAATTTGCTTGCATGAAACATCACAAGTTGTATAATCATCTGCTGCTTGTGCCTATTGAGACTAGAACGTAGAGTCTGAAATAAGATAGATAATGATCATTTTCATCCTGCAGTAGTTGTCATATTAAATATAAATGAAGTGCAGAAGTACTATTAAATACAAGGAAGACCTAATGTTAAAATAATGATAAGACTAGGACACGAGATAGGAAGAGGCAGGTAATTCAGAGTTACAAGTGATATTCAGGCTTTTTATTTTTTTTATTTTTTTTTGTTTTGCAGTCTGCTTGTCTCTCTTTTGACTTCTCTGAGAAAATACTGGGTTGCATTAATAGATGACCAAACAGATCTAAAGGACTTAGGTTTGTTACTCATTCTCTGCAAATGTATTTTAAAGGCAACCATGTGTTTCTCCAACATCAGTGTCAAGCATGTATATGGCTTGCAAGAAAAAAGCAATATAAGGAGCATGATTTCTTTTGTTTGTTAAATCTGCTGCTTAGAATTAGACTAAATTTCACTTAATTGCATATTTACATTTAAATACTCCTATTTCTCCTTTGGCAAACAAAAATCAAAATAATCTGTCTGCTCATCTGTGATACCTGTTAACCCAGGACCAGCTGGAGTCCTGTAACAGCACTCTGTGCCCGCAAGGTCCGATCAGCAGAGTCAGCGCTACCAACCTCCCTGAACAGCGGTGTTTGCTTTATTTAGAAACACACAGAGAAGGCAACAAGAAGCCAAACCTTTAAGAGTGCAGAGTATCTTCTCAATTTTCTAAGCTTCTTTTATTGGATTTATAGGTGTAATTCTCAGTTTAGATATATTCAATGAAAACTGGAATGATACCGAATTTATTTCTAGTTCCTCTGACAGCCCACACAATAAGAATAACAAGACCCAGAAATGGGCAGGCAGCAGGCCCCTGCTAATGCAACCAACTCTGGGCAAAGTTGGTCCCCTCGGTCTGAAGCTCCACGCCTCTGCTGTGCCCTCCTGGCAGGCACGTGCTGATGGCCCACCAAGGCACTCTTTCTTATACCGCATTGCTGCCTTTATTTTTCCTCTGCTGACGCTCTTACCGATGTGAAATAATTTCTGAGAGTTGCTGCTACCCGCCTGGACCAGCAGCCATGGAGAGCTATGGATCACCGTACTGGCCACCACGGAGCAGAGAGACCTCTGTCCTTCCCGTGGTCTTCTGCAGCCACCAACACCCTTAGAAGTTTAACCAAACCGCAATCCCAAAGGAACACAATTCCATTGCAGTTAAAATATTACTCCAAACAGATATTTTTATAGCTGTGAGCATAAACTGAAAGAGCTGTACTGCTCTTTTGTACCAGAGGAATGTCAGAAACCTGTAAGAGTCAGTAAATATTTTCTCTCACCACATCAGGTGCCTTCTGGATCTGCGTAGCAAGTTGGAGAGATTTGTTAGCTGACGAGAGCTGCTCCCTTAAGGTCTCTGCCTCTCTCTGAGCCACCTCTGCCCTCTGAAGGAAATGAAAAGGGGTGAAAAGAGAAAGTACATTCAGTTTAACAACTGACAATTATTACAAGAACATTCATCAATTCATGCCTGACTGAATATAATTGATTTTCCTAAACACTCAACCTAATAAATGTTAGAAAAAAAACATAGAATGTGATGGATTTTTATTTTAAACAGTACAAGGAAGAAATAATTGAGCGATTATGACAGTAATTTAACGCTAGGAGCAAGGAATCCCCTGCTGATACTAATGCTGCGGCCCACTGAATTTCCCAGACTGAATAAATACAAGTGGAAATGGAGTCTTTTTATTCAATTTCTTTCTATTCTCATAGACCAAGCAGATTTTATTGCAAGGTTCCTCATGGGAATAATTCTCACGGGTAAATGCTGAATTAAAAGATATTCTGACCATTCTCTCTAACACACATACAATGTTGTGGGCTGTCTTTCTTCAGTAATTATTTCCCAAAACATGAATTGTTAGATTCTGTTCTTTCAGCAGGTCTATTTATTCAACAATATTTAACCCTAAACTGACAATTTTGCACAGATCAGTTACCAGCTGCTGAGGATTTATGCAATATCTGATAAGCCTGTGACTTGGCTACCAGACAAAATTCCCATACAAATATTGAATAATAATAGAAAGGAGAAAGGCAGAATTATGAGGAAAGATTGTCTGTACAAGAGTTTGGGTAGAGACAGATGGATCAGTAACTTCAGGCAATAAATAGCAGCAAAGTCCTTTCCATAACTGTGTATAAGCTTCTGTTAAGAAAGCGGAACAAAACCTGGTTGTTTTTACAGTATATACTCCTCTTGGTCAGAGTTTCTTCTCTCTTTTTTGTAAAAATTTGTTTTATTTTTATAAAGCCACATTGTTTACCTCCTTGAGTAATGACTGCTTTTCACCTGGGCTACTCCATGCAAATCATGCTGCACTTTCAGCAGAAAATAGCTAAAATAATTTTCTACCTCCACTTCCAAGACATATCACCAACTCTTCCAAACCCAATCAAGGTCAAAACTTTTCTTGACCAACTTCTACACTGATAGGTCCCTTCCTTTACTGAATAATAAATTCATTTTTAAGCCACCAAACCCGCCATATTTCTGTGTGCCAGACTCCCTGCTTTTTCAGCTAATCCTTTTGAAAACCTAAGTCATCTAAAATAGCAAATATAAAACCTATACCCCTCTGTGAGTGCATGGTCTTTGACTTACTAGTCAAAGCAGAGACTCCGTCTGCATGTTTAATCAATCAGTAAACTAACAGCAATCAAATACTAAATGCATCATCTGCGCTATTTGCTCACATTATATTAAATGATTTTGCATAGGTTCTACAGGTCTAATTAAAATATAATTGTAAAAAGTACAGTAACATGGCTCTAATAATCAGAGCATGGGACACAACCTATTCCGTGCATGAAAAAATGGCAGCAGCATTAAAAAGGCACAAAAAGAGAAAGTTTATGTTGTTTATGCAGCTGGATAATATTAGGATAAAAAACTGAGCTAACCATACAGATTGAGATAAATATTTTCTTGCACTTTATTAGATGTGGATGTACATACATTGATCTAGTAACTGCTGAACAACTCCAGCAAAGCAGGACAAGTTACTACACTGTGGCACTCGCTCTTGCATCTACTGTTGTATAAGTAATGGGTTTTGCAGCCTTAAGCAATTCTGCTGATGGCTTCCATTCACAGCAGCATTGTTTTGAGAATCTATTCAGCTTGCATGCAAGCAAACCACAGAGGATATTTCTAATAGATGTTACATCTGCATATACAGTAAGCTGTCAGCTGCCCTTTCTGCATAGTCTCCCCAGCCAATTTAGAACACCTGTTGTAATCCTGTGAATAATACTCAACGAGATTTCATACTACGCATTGTTAAAAATACATCAAGAGAAACTTTGGGCAATTCTGTTTGGGAAATACTGGTCAATTATTCTCTTTTTTTTTTCCAGAATGGAAGCTTTTTAGAGCCAGAATTATAGATGTGTTCAGTGTCTGGAAAGCACTTTTGGGTGCTATTGCAATATAAATTATAAATTACACACAAAAACCTGTTAAAAGAACGGCCGTTTCAAAATCGAGCACTTAAAAGTTTTGAAAAGCCAACCCCAAGGCCGCAGGTACGTTCAGCCACCCCGGTGCGCAGGGGAGGCAGGCTGGAACCGCACCGTAACATGCTATTGCTTTTTTCCAACAAGACCCCCTACTTCATTCAACTCTCGGGATGAATATTGCTCAGTGAATGAGTATTTTGCTTTGCCCTCCTTGTTCCGTGTGTGACCTCTGCGGCTTATTTACTGCAAACTAATCCCACCCTCCTCTGCAGATAGGATTAATCGCTTCCCCACGGGCTGTGCTCTGGTTTCCACCATCAAAGGATATAAGTGCTTCAGAAGCATTAATGAATGCACTGGCACAACCCCCCATTTTGCCCTATATGGGTTCCCCAAGCCCCCAACATATTTCCATGCGGGTGCTCTGCATGGCGGTGTCAACCACAACCTCACCGCGCGGCACGGGCTGCGTTTGGCCATTTCTCACCCACTCGCCTGCACCCGAGACCCCTGCAGCTGCACCCAAGCGGCTGCGGTGCTGCTCCCCTGCAAAAACCTCTGGTTTTGCCTCTCTGACTCCTACGCCTCTCTGCTTGTCACTTTATCCCCCTCCTAATTCATTTTGTCCACTGCAGCACTGCTTCTGTCTTCTCTGAGCTTCACGGTGCCTTTAGCTTCAGGCTGGCAAAAGCAAGCTCGTACCTCGCAGGACCTAAAGAATACACACAAACTTCCAGAATTTGACTTACCCCCACAATTTCCTCTTTCCTCTTTTCCTTGTTGCTTCTTCTCCAAATGTCCTCGCAGCAGCCCCGTCCTGGTCCTTCTCCTCCCTCCCTCCCCACCACAAACCCACTCTCCGTGCTCTCACGCCGACGTTGCCCGTCTCCTCGTCGCGGCAGGGGCAGCCTGGAGGAGCATCTCCCCTCCCAGTGCTCCCCGTCAAAGTGGCACTGAACCTTACACCACAACCACGAGAAGAAAAACCTGGCTGGTTAATGTTCACCCAGCCGGCGCAGTGATAGACTGCAGCGTGCTTGGGACAGGCACGGACATCAAAGCTGACAAATTCAAACCAGATTCTGTTGAGTTTGTGTGAACTGGGGTTTTTTTCAGACGCTTATAGGCTGGCCAAACTTGGGGCTTTTTTTTTCTTTTGCTACTTGAAGCAACAGAAGATACAACCCTGAGAAAAAGGCAAACCCTCCCTCATCAAGTGCCAAGCCCCTTCTCTTAAATATGGGCACAGCAGGCTCCTCACCAAAACAGCAAGAACAACTCGTAACATGTGGGGAAAACTGGATTTTTTTTTCCTAATCTTGTTCTTAGAAATGGTTGAACAATTTTTCCTGAAATAAGAAAAGAGAGTACCGCCAGAGACAGACGCCCAGTATGGAAAATGGCTAAAACCTAGCAATCTTGCACAACTTGGAGCCACTGGGAAGTTCACACAACCTTCTCTTTGTGTGAAACTATCCCACTTCGGCTAATATGCATGCCATAGTACAGTTGCTTTTCATCAGTCAGTGCTAAAACTCTTGGTTTCTTACTTCCAAATCTACTATGCACAGCCTAGAAAAACCATGATGACCAGTGACAGTCACACTACTGGCCTTGATAGAGATCATGCAAATCCAGCATTGTCTTAAAATGCTATTTTTCTGGATAGCTCAGTCATACAATTCCTCCTAATTTCCATACTGCTGTTTTTCTAGTATAGAGCTACCTCCCTGGTAACAAAATATTTCAAAATACTTTAATTCTCCTTAACATAGCATGTAAATATTGTACTGTTCACAGTGGAGCCAGTAGGTCATGATCGTAATGCTGCTGTGTGCTTTCCAATTAAAAAAAAAAAAAAAAAGCCTTACACAATATATCCAGTTTAAATTATTCTCATTGTTTCCTGACAAGATAATGAATAGCATGAACGGAGTGCTCTTCTACTTACAGTAAAATGTTAATTTGATCAAAGACCAGTGGGGTGAATAGCAAAATGAGATACTTACATGCAAAAAAGTATAACCTTCCCCTTAAAGTTCCACCACCCAAACTATATGTCCTTATTACATGTTAAATTCGGTGCTATATGTGGCAAAATCCTCCTATGGCCTAGGACTGTATATTATCACAAGTAATTCTGCTGAAGTTAATGAGCCCAGTTATGGCATAATCACCATGCTTGGTTTTAAGCGCTTGAAGCTGACATTCTTACTTGCAAGCTGCTGCAAAAGCTATGTTTCTCGGAGTACAAGATCAATTAAAGCACACTGGTTCAATGTGCTTTAATTTTCTAACTTTTGAGATATAAAAAATTATTTAAAAACCTTTAAATGACCCTAGCTTTCACAGAACAACAGCAAGGTTATCAGAAAATCTGTGACATGAAAGACTCTTCAGGGCTTTGGCACCTATTTTTTCCAGCAATGAAGAATTACATGGAAAAAAAGAAAAAAACTCCAACAAACAGAAGAGGTTGGGTTGTCTTCATTCTTGTCTTCAGGCTATTGCACTTTCCTTTGTGCACTGAAAGGCTGCCAGATAAATGTATTCCCAACTGAAAGCCAGGCATTTACAGGAAACTCCTGTTTGTATGAAAATAATATTAACCATATTTTGCCTTTATACAGCACTTCTCCATGCAAGGATCTCAATGCACTTTATAAAGTAAATGTTACTATTCCCACTGTACAGATAGTGAAATCACAGGATTAAGTGAATGACCTCATTTGCTATAAAACGACATAACTTTGCTGAATTCAGCAGAGCTATGGCACACGACGACAGCAGAAGATCTCTTTCATTCCAAAGGGAGTCAGAAATAAAAAGCAAATACTCTGGCAGTATCTGTGTTAGCCTTGGTGCAGATGAAGGAGTCATGTCAAGATGAATACCGTTCTTCGTGGAAACATAAAAA